TTTTGTTTTGTTTTTTTCTTTATTTATAAAGAGAGTTAAAATTTATTTGTTAATAACTTAATAAGCTTAATAGAACTAACAACTTATTCGATTAACTATACATAGTTGTCTGCTATTGACTTAATAATACATAAAATGACTTATTCAATAAGCTTTTAAGGGAACACTGACAATAAAAAAAAATAAAAAAGATTCAAAATATTCTAACTTTTTCTAATTAAAACGATTTAATTATCAATCAACTTTTTTTGTTAAATTAATAATCACAAAAAAAAATGTTATATGTAGTCCTTTTATAACATGATTAAGCATTCATTTACGTCATAATCAATGCACCAAATTCCTATACTTGTTTTCTTTTATTATAATGGGTGTCGTCGACATACGCCAATCGACTTTTATTATATCCACAGTTAAAAGTATGTAAGCATGTTAATCAGTGGGTTTTTAGATCGGTTTATGATTTATATTGATTTCAATTCTTATCTCATATGAGCTCAACTGATCCTTTGGTCTTTTGTAGTTGGTCCCGATCCGGATTAGAGGTGATTATTTGTGGGATTGGGTCGGGTCGGGTCGGTCTAACGTTTTTTTGTCAAACGGGCCTAATATTGTAAACCCAGACTTTTTTTTAAGGCTTGACAACTTGTCATTTTTCACCCTATAAGCTGGTCAGGCTTGCCCACGGGCTAATGAGCCTAAAAAATGTATATTTTAATTAACAAATGTGGAACCAAAAAGTAAATGAAAAACACAGTTGCAATTAAAACTTTAAGCAACTACCGACTCTATTCATTGTTGATCGATTAAGAGTTTTGACATAAAGATGCCAACAAAGATACATGTAGAGCCTTTTGTGTTCTCAAGAAAAACCAAAGAGTCTCAACTCTTATCCTATAACTTTAATAATTTAATTTTAAAATATACTAATATAATTTTAATTAATTATAAAACATAAACGGGCTGGGCGGGTCTGTCCATATTTATTTTCACATTGTCCATGTCTGCCCGTTAATTTTAGCGAACAAACCCGAGTCCATCCATTTTCTCGATAATGATTGTCCAAACCCGTATTTCTTGCGGGCTGGATAGGTCAGGTTTAACGAATCGTCCCGCCTATCAACAGCTCTAATCTGGACCAATCTCCGATAGAAAATTCTATAAGTGAATGTAACCGGTCATTTGGATCTGATCCATCTATCGAGTGATTCGAGTCTATGCTTTTATCTCTTATTTAATTATTAATTAATTTATTATATATTAAATATTGTTTTTATAACACTATCATTAACATTCATTTTAGAAATATTCACTACTTTTTGGTGTATTTGCACAAATATAATTTATTTTTATCTTGATTAAATAATATTTTATTTATTTTTATTATAATACAGAAAAACTTTAGGGGATGTTTGGGATTGCTTATTTGAAACAACTTATGTTTTTTTATAAAAGTCTTTATCAACTTATTATAAGTTAGAATGATTTAACTTCTTCAAAAACTCCTTATTACCGCTTTGGCACCGGTATAAGTTGTTTATCCAAAAGACAACTCAAAATTGGACCACCAACTTTGCTTACATCACTTCGATAACTCAAAAAACGTGTTAAAAACTAAGAATTTTCATATATTCAACATTGATTTTTGGAAGAAAAATAAAATTGGGACTGAATTGGACCGGGACGAGTAGATACTGAGCTTTGTACATGGAGAATGGGTCGAGTGTTTTTGTCGGAACCGGTTACAAAAGGAATTGAGTAAATATAAAAGTATAGTAGTTTTTCTTACAAAATTGGAATTCTTTGATGGAACCCAAGCAATTTACATTCCATCACACGTGGAATTCAAATTTCTTACCAAACGCATGAATGACCATTCCAATTCCTTCAAATTCCGTCGGATTCCGACCAATCAAATGCCACCTAATGGACATTTCTTTATCACAACGCCTATGCTTGATGATAAGACTCTTGTTCAAAAACACGATTTATAACTATAATTTGATACTAATCATGATGGATCTCAGCAAATTTAGAGCTTGTTGGGCTCACCCAGAAGCCTGTAAGCGTCTGGTTCAATCAAATATGGAAGGAAAGAGCTAACACAGCCATTAAGAAGTATACCCTCTAAGTTTTTGGTTTTATATATATGATGCTATCCTCATCATTTAGAATCAAAGTTTCTAGATTGATCCCCATCTAATATTTCATTTAATTTCCTTTGTTGGAGACTTTTTGTTTCTAATACGTTGGCAAGATACACATGTTTTTTTGTTAACCGTGAGTGTCTAAGCCAGCTTGCATGCACCTCCCCTGGAGAACAACCATGAAAATATCAAGTGGCTTTGTAGGACTCAAACAAGTAACCACTGAAGAAGGAGAATCCCCAAAAACCCAAGATTTATTGCCAGTTGAGTTAACCCCACAAGGTTAGGTTACACGTGTGTGAGATGGGGATATCCAGGTTCGGCTATCCTAAAATCAATGATGATTGGTGTTTATTTTACTAGATGCAATAGATCACATAATAGCACATACAAAAACTGAACTCATAAGTTCATATTTGTCATGTAAACAACACAGATACTTTGTTATTTATACCTCAAGATTAACATTGCATATGAATCTCCATGAATCGAATACGGCCTCTTTAATTCTTTTCTATCGTAGGACTCATCTAAAAGTTATTCAATCTTCTGCTAGAAAATAAATCATTTAACAAATATGAGAGCAAACAGAAGACCACGGAAACTGATGAAGTGTCACTTAAGAAATTGGTAAGCAATCATTGTGGTGGAGGGTAATTTCTAGATAATTTTTACAGTTTGACATGACACTTAAAAGAAATTGTATTGCAGTGGATGGATCTAGAGGATAGATTTAACTCCCAGTTATTGACAAATTCTATCATGTCAAAGTGAAAGAAAGTACAGTCCCAGTATAATAACAATGAAACTTGGATTTGGTTAGGAGCATCTACAACATTGACCGCATAAAAACACAAAAAAAAAAACACTAAAAATAGTGAGCCCATTAACATCGCTACTCAAGCCATACTCTAAGAACAAGGTTCTAAGTAGCGTGAGGTGTAACGTGGCTTCAAGGTCAAGCCTTAAGCCCTGGGAAGTCACAACGAGGCCATGACGTTTTTCAAAGCATGACTTATGGCTGCAAATTTATATATTATATATATGAATCTTTGTTTTATACTATTACTCAATGTCTTAATGATATTAAGCATTTTAACTTAGGTTATATAATATAACAAAAAAACAAGACACTAAATGGGTACGAAAATTCAGTATGGTGTTACAAAAAGAACGCATTAAGCCATGGTGTGCCACAAGCTTAACGTGACGTCAGACACAAGTCTTTAAGCTACGGCACGCCACGACGGCTGTCACGACGAGCTTTTTAGAACACTGTCTAAAAACACCAAATTTGTTAGCCATATGAAAATGATCACCAAATATTTGGACCTAGGGTTTTGCCGGTTGAAGATTTACACAGAATTATTGCCATTCAACTTGAAGACCCGGCAAAAATCAACAGATTTTGGCGGTCTGTTAGAAAGGAATCACCAGGAAAAATTGAAGTTTTGCAGGATGGTTGGAGATGCTTTGACTACAACAAAATTCTAAGGGGCCGTTTACCAAACACTAACCCGGGTAAGCGCTTACTAAGTCACATTACTTCAACGGATAAATATGGTAAGGACTAAGAATCTTACCCGGTAAGAGCGAGACATGGACCATGAGTCTTACCCAGGGCTGGTTCTAAGATTTTTGATGCCCTGTGCGAAAATAATAAAAAATGCCCCTAAGCCTTTTTCTAAGTCAATGAAACAATAAAACATGCGATTTTTTAAAGAGTGTAGAACCTATTCAAGCTAAGTATGTCATCCTCATGTTGATTTTTATTAATCATAATAAAAAAAAATACAAGGGGGAATAAAAACCAAAACCCCGAATACAAAATACAAAACATAAAATGATAAAATGATAAATCATGGATTAAGACAGTGCTTCTTTCTTTTCCAGTTTTCCTTTTTCTAAATTGAAATTAGCAAAATAGAAATTCCATTTCAATACATGGGACTTACAAGAAAAAGAAAATTATAATTAGTTTTTAACTAAAATAGTAAATTACATTCAAATTACTGTCATAGTAAGCAAAAAGTAAAACTCAAAAGTTATAGGTCTAATGACTAAAGGCTAAGGGCCTATCTGTTAGCAACTTAATAAGTTTAATGGAACTAACAGCTTATTCGCTCAACTATGCATGACTCTTTCATAGTGGCTTAATGATATAAAAAATGACTTATCCAATAAACTTCTAGTGGAAGCTTTATATAGAAAACCAAGTTTTTTTTTCCAAACATGTCTCTTCCAACCAAAAAAACACTCTTTACATCTGCGAAAAAATACAACTTTATTCATATAAACAATATTATACAAACAAAAATTTTTCTAACTTTCCAACTTTTTCCAATGATGTGCATTCAATATTCATCCCTACTAGGCCTAGGGCCTGTTTTTTTAGTCAAAGCTCAGTCGTCAAATTCCCAAATTATTAAAGCAAAAACTAGTAACAAATGACTACTTTATGCCCCTTTAGGCTTTGATGCCGTGTGTGGTCGCACGGGCTGCACGTGGCCAGGGCCGGCCCTGGTCTTACCTAGTAAGTGAGGGCGATGATTCTTACCATGGTAAGCGCTTACCGGGTGAATTGTTGCATTTGGACTAAAATCTTACCCGGTAAGTAAATAATAGTCTTAAATTTTACCGGTAAGCAATTACCGAGTAAGTGTTTGGTAAACGGGGCCTAGGACTCACCGAAGTCAAACAGGAAAGTGGATCTCATGCAAATTCATCTGATTGCTGTAGAAAGTTGGCATGACAGTCAATCAATCGTTCCTCTGTATCCCGATAAAGCACAGTAGTTATAGATCAGGTAACAAAATGAATACATCACACATACACAAAACACAATCAAAATTGAAAGAAGAACAGAAACTGAAATCTAATGTAAGTCTAGGAAGTACTTAAACTTAAACCAACGAAATTAACCATACAGCTTAATCCAATCAATTGCCTCATCAAAAGCATCAGATCAGCAATCGAAACAACCAGAACGTAAATACAAAATAGAAAACCAATCAATATAGCAACGTATACCTAATCGTATTCTTTCTTATCAGCCTTTGGTTGATTTAACGCTTCACTTTTCCACCTTCCCAAAAAACCACGATTTTGTTTCATGAATTCAAAAATTGCAAGCATCGACACAGAATTTTAAGAACTCAAGAATTCAGGTGAAGAAGATAGTGAAAGAAATCAACAATGGCGTACCTTGCTTAAACGACATGGTAGAAATCAAGTGTTGAGGTCCGGCCCAATTCGTAAAACTTCCTCGACTGTTAGAATAAGAAGCTTAACTCGTACGCAAAGTTAAATCAATTGCGCTATTTATAGGCGCCACGGTTTACTGTTGATACCAGAATGGGCCCTATTTCATAATCAAATAAGGCCCATTTCTTTTATTTGGGTTAACCCATTAAACCAGCCCATGAATTCTTTTTAGAAAGCCCAAAATTAAGTTCTCATAATATTTAATTATTTGGGCACTAAGTTTATTACTCACAACCCAACCATTCCGATAGAAACCGTCTCCAAGACATTCTCGCTTCCGCTTCGTCCACTACCGCTCGCAGGTGCTTCACTCGAGAATATTCACCTGTTGTCCATCGACTACGCCTTTCGGCCTGATCCTCGAAATGCGTTAAGACGCAATAGTTAACTGAACATCTATATACCAATGCGAAGGGTATTTTATAGCTCACTTAGCGGCTGAGGCGATCTGGAGAGACTAGAATCAAACCTAGTACATGTTTTGTATTCAGACAAAATTTCACACCACCCTTTACCAACTAAATATTTAATTTATCTTAAATAAATGTTTTTAAAGTATTCATACAAAAGAAATTAGGGATGGAATTAAACTGTTCGTTTTTGTAAACTGACAAACGTCTGAAGTCTGAAATCTGAATCAATAGTTTAAAGTCGTTTAAATAATACATTTGTATAAGGGATTAACTGGTCCCTGACGTTGAGAGACATGTGTTTCACCCCTACATGTAGGGGGCACACCTAATGAAGTGTCTTATAGAGTATGGTCCAATGATGAATTGGCCATTCAAATTTTTTTTTTTGTAAGGGTGTCCGGGCCAAAGCCCGACTAATCCCCAGCAAATTTGGAGGCTAAACATGGCCTCACTTAAATGTCGCCAACACTCCCCTCCCAGGGCTCGAACCCGGGTTCATGACTATGTCATGCCCAAGCCTTTACCACTAGACTGGAAGGTCTTTGACTTGGCCATTCAATCTTGTTAACCAAAGTTAGCATTTATAGTTGTGTGCCTTCAAGATCATCACAATAAATATATGAACGTGTATTCATATAAAAGAGCTTCCTTTATGATGATATAGAGATTCGTTGTGTAGTCATACGAAATTCTAAACTCCCAGTAGGAATATTTCGTCAAGAAAAGAGTGCTAGATGAATCACATATGTCTGCTTGTGTTTCAGATCGCAACAAAAATACGTAATATTCACCATTCTTTTTAAGACAGATGGATTGGGAGATCGATTTGGTTAAAAATCTGGAGATCGAGAGATCACCCTTGAAAGATCGATACGAAAGCGAGAGTGTTGGGAGGCGATGGTGTATTGAGCGAATAAGAGGTAAATAAGGGTCTGAGTTACCTCTTTTTATCCAACCCCTATTAAGAGATAAGTGGCTCTGAAAATGGAAAAAAGAACAGTCTTGATTACAAAATGTCTGACTGGATCAGACATAAGTGGTAATTAAGTGCTGAAAACCAAAAAATAAACAAGGCCTAAAATCAAAACATGTCAAGAATTTATGATAAATACTACAAAATTTAGAAGTCTCGCATAAAAATTCATCAAAACCGTTTCACCTCTAACCTGAAACCAATTGAGTTTATTCAGCGATAGCTATTATATTTCTACGAGTATAGTATATATATATATATATATATATATATATATATATGTATACGTCCTACCCCTCAGGTTCTATACGAACATGACCCACCTTTAGGCGAACTATGCTCATTTGTTTGGTTTGATTCTAAATTTCGAAAACATTTTTTTATCTGAAATAACATTTTTAAAATTATATTACAAATTTATTATGTATTACTTAGTTTTTTTGATTAATTAAAGTACCTTTTCACGTATTAGGGGACATTTCCTAAACGCTTAACCGCTAAGTACTTATCAGGTAATTTTTCTCATTGGATGAACATAGCAAGGGCCAAGAATCTTAATCGGCAAGAACAAATATAAGGATGGAGAGTCTTACCCGGTAAGTGAGGGTGACGACTCTTACCCGGGTTAAGGCTTACCAGGTAAATTGCTGTATAAGATACGTTTTGATGTACTACAATCTTACCCAATAAAATAAATTATAGTGTTGACTCCTAACGTTAAGCACTTACCGCGTAAGCATTTAGGTAAACGACCCCTTAGTCAAATATTAAACAAAGATACGTAAACACAAAACGAGACTTAATGGGAACAATTAAGACACCTTTGTCTATACAAGACTTACATTTCAACTCGTCTAATCGGGTCTTAATCCCTAGCTCGAGCTTTTCAAAAACCGAGCTTTAGGCATATCTTATACGTACGTACGTACGAGAAGCAAATTAACGAGCACACAAGATTTACCAACAACCAAAAACCATCAACTTTACTAATGCTTTGTTCAAAAACCTCAACCACAAGACTAAACATCACAAAGGGTAGTCTAAAAACTTGTCCTCAAGAAGAAAATTTATTTTAGGATTATTACATGAAAAGACAATTTTGCCCTTTAAACTTTGGTGTCAAAATTGACTTTTGTAGTGAAGGAGAAATATCAGCAATAAATTCACATTAATGTACATGCATTTCAAGTCATGAAATTGATCCTAACCCTATTTATGGAAAGTCCATCCATTCAAATCCAAAGGCACATTCATTGAAATATAGTTTTGTAACAATGTCTATTTTGATATCTTAACGATGCGATATTAATAAGCGTGTTTAAAAATTGACGTGATTTTTTAAAAATAGACGTTTTTAAAATTACATACTACAGGAAACTGACTCAAATAACAATTCCACCTATTTAAATTGGTCTTCTAACCATTTTTCTCTCGGTTTTACCCAAACGTCACGTCCACAATTTCCACATCCGCAATATTGCGGACCTAGCTAAAAGAAAAAAGAAAATTATCAAATTCAACCCAGGTAGGCAATTGCGATGGTCAGGTCCGTAATTATGATGGTGTCACTTGCTAACCTGGGGAATTTGAACTTTCTTTTGTCTTTTAGCCAGATCCGCAATATTACGTACATAGCGACATTTGGGTAAATATTGCGGATCTGGATATTACGAAAGTAATTGATAGGTGGGTAAACCCAATAGACTAAAAAACCAATTTGAATGGATGAAATGATAATTTAAATCAATTTCCATTAAACAGTTGTGTATCTTATTTAAAGATGTTACAATAAGCTGATATGACGTATTTAGACGTACTAAGAGCATCTCCAACCATAACAAAAAAAAAAAAAAAAAGATGAGTCGTCTAATACTAAAAAAAATTCAACTCCAAGAAGAACACCATATTTGTGGGACCATATTAAAATAACATATTTTAAACCATTTTTAATTACAATTACTATAATTTGTAAATAAATATTATAATAATAATTAGTAATTAATATATAAAATAATTTATTTAATGTAAAAACATTCGTTATTCAATCAATAAATTTTAATAAAAAGGTTATATTAATATAAATTATTTATTATATTCAAAAATAAATATTAGAAAACAGCTTTTTAATTAAATAATTAATATTAAATAATGAATTGTACAATATAAGAATATAAATTAGATTATTAAACTATTCTCTTTGCCGTTAGGTTGGAACGACTAAACCGACGAATCCATGGTTTTAACGGTCGGTTAGAGTTTTTTTTTTATAATACATTTGAAATAAAATATTCAACTAATAAGATTGGGTCTATGTGAGACTAGTCTGTTTTTATGAGACCATTTTTTTACACTTAAAACTTTACAGCAAAATTATGTGAAAGTGAAAAAAAGACAAACATTCACAACAAAAAAAGTTGTGAAAGTTATCTTCAAAGCATTTTGACATGATATTATTTATCTTACAAAACAATTGTATAATAAAAAAGTTGTATCTGTATAATATTTTTAAAATAAATTGTTATGACACCCAAAAATATTACATCAAGTTACTATAACACCTTTATATATTACATATAAATGTGTTATTATAAAAAAGATACCGTTTTATAAAAGTATATGTTTATCGAACTAAATAATTATACATCATATATATAATATATATGATGTATAATTATTTAGTTCGATAAACATATACTTTATAAAACGGTATCTTTTTTTTTGGTAAATTGCATGAAAAAGTAACATATTTTAACTTGATTCCTATTTTTGGTAACATACTTTTAAACTTTCATTTTGTTACCTAAAATGTAAAGTTTTAAACATTTAAGTACCCCGGTAACCGGTTCAAATTAATTTTAGATTAAAAAAACTAATTTTAGATTAAAAAACTAATTTTAGATTAAAAATTCATTCACTAACCACGTCAGCAAATAATATTGTGGTGGATGATACATCACTTGTCACATGAGCATTATAACTGGTTATCCGGGTATTTAAATGTTTAATACTTTACATCTTAGGTACCAAAATTGAAGTTTTGAAAGTACATCACCCAAAATAGAAATCAAATTAAAGTATATTACTTTTTCATGCAATTTGTCCGAAACATTTATACATATTTAACGTCATATAAAACCGATCTCATGTAATATACGGCAGTACATTAATTTTTTTGTAGTTATCGAGAATTAACATAATTCAAAAAATAAAATAAAACCAAAGGGCATTTGACCTAACGGTATGTGAGTGTTTGACCTCCTAAGAAGTAAGAGGTTCAAACCTCACAAAAAATAAGGATGATGTGTGAGTTTATTTGTTCTATTTGACTTATATAAAAATGATAATTTTTCAAAAGTGTTTCGTCAACATTGGGGGTTACGGTAAATTGAGTGTGGTGGGATTTCGTTACCTCCAAAGATGACGCCCAATGTTTTGGTTTGTAAGTATTCAAATTCTCTCTTGGGATTCTCCATCTCTTTCGATCATTTATATCACTTCTCAAAACCTGCATTTCCATCTCCGATCTCCGATCTCCGATCTCCATCACTTCATCTTAATCATGGTATGTGTATTCATTTCATTCTCCAATTTACGTTCATTACAGCAATCGTAACCACTAATTTGGGCGTTTTCTGAGTC